AACCAATAATAATGTTAGCTCTTAAAATTTCACACTTTTGTCAAATGTGCTATCTCCGATTCTAATATAAAACTTAGTTATGTGTTATATTTGATCTTAAATGTAATATTTTAACTCATTTTATCTTATAAATTTATCATTTTTAAAAAAACTAATTTATCTAATATATAAATTGATATATAGCTTAATATCATACAAATATACTTTATAAAAATTATGTCACATTTGTTATAATTAATTGATTGAGTTATTTTTCTTAATTTATTCAAATTAGTTAAATAACTATTATACTAAAAATTTATCTTACGCCTCAATTAACTTGTTGTGCATGGGGACTCGAATGTTATCATAATAACAAAAAGAGGTGTTTAAGAAAAGCAAAATATTCAAACATATCTTTTCAATTATTTTATTTGTAAATCACTGCTAACATATTTTATTCGAATCTAAAAAATCTTAAATTTCAGTAATTATGTATTAAAATTTATTAACTTTGTAACAGCAAAAAATTTAATAACTTTCAATTTAATTCTTGGTTAATATATATTAAGAAATTAATGGTCGAGAAAACATATTAGGCCAACCTAAAAAAGAGAAAACAAGATTAGAAGTAAAATTTAATATAATGAGGTGATCTGCATTAAGGATAAAACAAAACACTTTCTTTATGAGATGATATGAGTATTTTGTAAAATATTTATGCTTGGATGGGATAAAATTTAATCATCTTTAAATTTCATCCAGTATTAGTGCAAGGGTGCGAATCTCCTGCCCAACAAGATCAACGACAACTTTCATCCCTTTCACTGTGAACTAATGAAAGATCATTTTCTCGAGAAAGACAAAAAGTACATAATATTTTAAATCATTTTCTCATAATCATATTTGCTCAGAATATGTAATTCTCGGATTTGTTTTCAAGTTAGACTTTTGCTGCATTTTCAGTGGGTCAGGAAATCACATTTTTTTTAAACTAAAACATAAGTATTTTCTTATTGAAAGTAATCTTATTTAAAGTATTATAGACACTAAATGTAAACACTTCTTTTAATGGGGATTCAAACATTAATTTACCACGTTATGAAAGACTAACCCTTTTTGCTAGATCCAATTCCAATTAGTAGGAATTCACAATTTTAATTAGCAGTGTTTCTGATCATCCCTCCCTTTGTTGAATCATCGACTCCTCCTTCTCTTCGGATAATCAATCGCCAAGTTTTGGTCCTTGTCAAATAATTTGCTCAGCTTAAGAATTGCAAAAACAGAACTGATGAAACTATTTTAAACAACATCGGCTTTCTTTGTCAACTGTTCTCTCATTTAGATGTAATAGTTGTTTATGGTTCTTATTCTGTACTATCTAAATTTTCTCATTTTTATTGGACTTCAGTTATATACTTATAATAGGGATATTTTCTCCTTTTTTTGTAATATTATTTGATCCTTTTTTTTTAAAAAAAGAAATATTTGCACAGCAAGCCAATTTGAATATCCCCATACATACTACTCTTCTGGTTCTATTTATATAATAGAGAAATAAGATTTTTTTAATTTTATTTATATGGTATTAAGAGAAATTTTTTATATATATATGCAATTTTATTCTTTATTTATTATTATACTAACTTTATTTATATGATGTATAATATATGTATTAAATAAGATTAAAATTAAAATTATTAAATTTTAAATGAGAATTAATAAAAATTTAATATTTTTTAATTTATGTAAAATATGTTAAAAGTAATTTATAAATAAAAAAGGGTAAGTGTTCGCAAGTAACAATAAAAAGACATTTTAGTCAACAGCACAAATACTGAGGTTTTTTTTTTTTGACGAGCTGCACAAATACTGAGGTTGCTGCTATCTAAACCGTCAAAGCAGATTTTTTTTTTTTGTTTTTCCATTATTCAGTAAACAGATAAAACTCAAATAACCGTTGTGCTCCCAGAATATAACATCGGAGTCCTATGTACGAAAAATAAGAGCAGGGCGATCAAGATGTTAGATGCCTCTATGAAATAAAATTAGGATGCTAAATGTATATATATATTTTATATATTAACAAAATATGAGAGAAAAATCTTTCATGCTACTTTGTAAATACCAGTAAAATCTATTTTGGATATTTATTTTTTGGGTCGCTTCTGGATATTTATTTTTAAATTAACATGAAAACTACATTAATAGTTGATCAATAATACTACTTTTGGTAGTAAATATAAAAGTTAGTTGATTAATTTGAGTAAATTAAGGAAAGGAGTTAAACTAATTATTTGTAATAAATATATATTGTCTTTCTTAAAATGTTCTTACTAATCAAGTATATTAACTAGAACTATCTTGAGGCAAAATGTATAAATATAAGAGATAAAATAGATTAAAATTTTATATTTAGATTAAAATAAAAATCAAACAAAATTTTATATTAAAAAATAAAAATGGGGGCAGTAAACCAATTCCATCTTCATCGATGTATCATTAAATTAATGATTAACATGTCGTTTGATGGGGTCAGTATCTCATTGTATATTTGACCATTGATTGAAGATCTGATACTGTATTTGATTCTTGAATCTTGGCGTGTAAAGTACTAAAGTAAAAAAAAAACTTTTTTTTTTTACTGTTAATATTTTACAACACTAACGTAACTGCATAGAGGTGGCTAAGAACAAAGATATAAGGGAAAATTACACTCAGGTCCCACAGAACACAATTAATATAAAAAAGTCCCTTGAAATCGCGAAATGATTCTGAAGTCCCCAGGGACTTGTGTGTAATTAATTCTAATTGTGAAATTACGTAGTTACCCCTGTTAATTTGAACCTATTTACAACCTCAACAGTGGCTGTTAACAACCCGAGAAGAGGTGGTTAACAACCTCAACAACGCCCCTGGTATTCCACAGAGTGAGTTGTCATGAGCACTGTCGAGGTTGTCAATCACGTCTTCTCGGGTTGTTAACAGCACTGTTGAGATTGTAACTAAAATTAGAACCTATTTATAACATCAACAGTGGCTGTTAACAACCCGAGAAGAGGTGGTTAACAACCTCAACAACGCCCCTGGCATTCCACAGAGTGAGTTGTCATGAGCACTGCCGAGGTTGTCAATCACGTCTTCTCGGGTTGTTAACAGCCACTGTTGAGATTGTAAACGAATTGTTGCAATAAAATTAATAGGGGTAAGTAGGTAATTTCACAATTAGAATTAATTACACACAGGTCCCTGGGGACTTCAGAATCATTTCGCGATTTCGTGAGACCTTTTTGATATTAATTGTACTCTGTGGGACCTGAGTGTAATTTTCCCAAGATATAACTGTAGGGAGAGTTCGAGTCAGAGAACGATGGTGAGAGTATTTTGATTGGAAAAGCATTGACTGTCCTAACACATGATGACCCAATCAAGGCGACGCCATCAGCGCGTGTGAATTACTCACCAACTAATGCTGATCATGGAATGCTCGGGAGGGCCCACAAGGCTCATCAGGGACTCTATTGGAGCGTGAACAGCAAGCTCCTCCGAGAGCGTCAGACAAAACATCATAGCGTGAGTGTGCTCTGCTCGGGAAAGAAAGGCACAGAAATTGAAAGTTTAAAAATAGTGTCAGAAGGTAGGGGCAAGCGAACGTGCACTATTCCGAGCACAGATCTAAATTATAAAATTATACTCATATTTTTTTTAATATAAAACATAATTATTTAGTTATTTTTTTTATTATAAATATAAAACTTATTTTTTATATTTATTAATTTTTTTAAAATTATCTTTATAGATTTTTTCCAAACATAATCAAATAGAAGAGAACGAGAAGATAAACATGTCATATTTTTTATAATTAACTAATTTATTTAATTTTCTTAATTTAATTAAATTAGTTAAATAAGTTTGATATTAAAAACTGAAAGAGTATCATAAATCTAGATATACTCTATATAAATAAATTGAGGAAAAACATTGGAAAACTTTTATAAGAGGGGTGATTGATAGTGTTATCTATCTTTCTAATTAAAAAAAACTCCATTCCATCTAATTTGTAAAACAATATTTATTGTTAATAATGCAATTAAACTTGCTAATCAATTAATATTAGGAGTTGCACAGATCACTTTGTTAGGAGAGTATTAATAGGAATAGCTTGTGAGGAAAATAACAAATATAAAAAATAAAACCTATATTTAAAATTAAAATTAACTCTTTAATTAAGTCTTGTATTAAGAATTAGAAGAATAATTACTAATTATTGAAGAGTAAACTCAAATTCACTTGCATAATTGAAGTCAAAGCACTGTTAGTAGTCTTACATGCAGGTTTTTATATTATTAGGTTATACGACTATTGTTGCTATGTATTTTTTGGACAGATTTATTCTTACAATTTTTGCATTCCAAGCAAATATATTTTTTGAAAGGGTTACGGGCTACGACCTTTTTGCCCTCTTTCTCTCCATGTATGATATCACCATAAGTAATCTGTAAAGTATTATTGGGGTTTTGGGAAGTTATAAATAATACAGCTAATTTCGAGTACATCTATTTATTCAAAACCTCCAGCCAAATCTAACTTGTCTCAGTGATGATATATCTTCTTATAAATGCTTAGAAATCAACAACTACTATAAAAAATCTGAAACTTGCAAATGCAAACTTGTAAGTGAAAAAAAAAAAATTAAAACTTGACATCTTTCACATCCAATTAAGGCAAAAATTTTCTCAAAAAGCACGTTAATATATCTACGGAAAACGTAGAAGTACAGCCCGATTACCTTACGGTAGTGTTTGGATAAAAACCAAACCATAGTTTCAAAAGTGCTTTTACGGATTACGAAGTAAATATGTGGAGGAGATTACCTCGTTTTGCAGAAAAGTGCTTCTGAAACCACGGTTTTGGAGTACCCAAACAGAGCCTACCTCAAACATAAGCACAGGCATTAATCTGTTTTCAATTTTGAAAGAGAACAGAGAGAGAGAGAGGGCTATAGAGAGAGATTAAATCTCAGGGGAGAGAGAGAAAAAGGGCCTTAACTTCACTGCCCACACTCGGCCCAGAACCCCATAAAACAGAGCAGAGCAGCGAGGGAGGGTTGTAGCAATTGCTGGTTCTTTCTTCTTCTTCTTCTTCTCCTTCTGCGTCTGCTCAGAAGCTATAAGGGAGAGGGTGCTTCGGCTATTGTAGTAAGCTTTGACTGCTATTTTCTGTTTTGAACAGAGAAAGCCAAACCCCGGGAGGATCATATGAAGATTACCGTTCATGGGTAAGTCCGTACTCTGCTGCTCAGACTTGGATTTCGATTTTAATTTGGAAAGAAAGGGAGATGGAAGATTTAGAAGAGGGAAGAAGAAGATAAAGTGGGAAGTGAAATCTCCTCTTTGTATTTTTTTCCCCCCTTTTTTAAAAAGATTAAACTTTTATATTTTTTTGCTGTTTCTTTCTTTTGTTGTTTCTGCAACTTTTGCACTCATTACTTCTTTATAGAGAAATTCAACCACCATCTTATGTCTGTCTCTCTCTCTCTCTCTCTTACGCTCTTGTAGTTGTTCTTCTTCCCTTCTTCCTTCGATGAAAGGGTAACCTCTTGGCATCCTCCATTAGTCTCCTTTTTAAACAACCACACGAGAATACACCTTTTAAACACTTCACTTTCTTATTTCCCCTCTTTTCCTTCTTTAACTTGCTTTTCTTGGGCTTCGGCTTTGCAGGAATATGAGAAATCAAAGCACTGTGCTACCACTCATCCTCTCGAGTTGGTAGGTAGGTCTCTTGTGTGTGTGGTTGAGAAAGAAACCTTACTTGTAGCAGCGGGAGTGAGAAACATACATAGCCACCTGGGGAGTATAGAGGGAGAGAGAGAGAAACAGATAGATACAACACTCAACTCGTAAACGAACGACGAGTATTTGGTTTAGTTGCAGCCATGGATGGGTACGAAGCTACAAGAATTGTTTTCTCGCGGATCCAAAATTTGGACCCCGAGAATGCTTCCAAAATCATGGGTCTGCTTCTGATTCAAGACCATGGTGAGAAAGAGATGATTAGATTAGCATTTGGTCCTGAAGCTCTGGTTCACTCTGTGATTGTTAAAGCTCGCAAAGACTTGGGATTATCCTTGTACGCTCCGTCTACTCCTTCAACTCCTCCTCCGTCTTCATCACCATCCTCTTTCCTTTCAAGGCAAAATTCTACTTCTTCACGGCTAAGCAGCACCGGAGTCAACTTTCCTCCTCCTGCTCTTACAATCCCAAACCCCTCTTCTTCTGCGCCTTGGGCTGATAGTTTGATGAGCCCGAACAACAGTTTGCTTGTTGGCTCTAATTCTCCTCATATCAGCGTTCCTTCACCTTCTTCTTCCTTACCCTTTTATGGTTCTGATCCAATTGACGAGTTTCAACTTCAGGACCAGCTTTCTTTCCTCAATGATGGGTCTCCTACCCTTGGCAGGAAAAACCCGGACTTGTTCTATCCTCAACCTGACTTATCACCAAGTCCTACCGGCGGCGACGCTACTGGTTTTCCCTCTTACGGGTGGGGCGGGTCAGTCCATCGCCGGAGTTGCTCCGTTAATGAAGCTTGTTTGGGGTCTGAGGATCCGAATTCTGGGTTGGGCTGGAAGCCTTGTCTTTACTTTGCTAGAGGTTACTGCAAAAACGGTACTAGCTGTCGGTTCCTTCATGGAGGAGGAATTGGAGATTCTGATGGTGTTTCAATGGTTGGGTCTCCTAGCAAGATTGAGATGTTGGACCAGAGCAGCCATGAGCTTCTCAGATCTAAAAGTGCTCAACAGCAAAGATTGCTCATGGCTTCTTCTTTGCCTTACTCTCCAAAGGGCATGAATTTTCTACTGCAACAGCAGCAAACTGATTCCCAGAGGTACAAGAGTTGTGTTTCGTAATGGGTTTTCTTAGATATCAAAACTTTTTTAATCTATAACCATGTTTTTTGATGTGATGTATGCAGAGCTGCAGCTGCACTTATGAGAACGAGGATTTGCACAAGTTTGGGCGATCCAGGCTTGAAAGAAACGATTTTTCTCTCAGTGGAGGTTGTGGAATTGGGAACCCAGCTTCGAGGCAGATCTACTTGACCTTTCCGGCGGATAGTACTTTCAGAGAGGAAGATGTTTCAAATTACTTCAGGTTGCTTCTTGTTCTGCTTTGACCTTAACATTAAATTATTGCTGGAAGCAAAAGTTAACTTTCTTATTCTTCTTTTTTTTTTTTTTCCCCTTTTATCTTTGTTGAAGCATTTATGGTCCTGTTCAAGATGTGAGGATTCCATACCAGCAGAAGCGTATGTTTGGATTTGTGACCTTTGTTTATCCAGAGACAGTGAAGCTCATTCTATCAAAGGGAAACCCCCACTTTGTTTGTGATGCTCGCGTGCTAGTCAAGCCTTACAAGGAAAAAGGCAAAGTCCCGGACAAGTACAGGCATTCTCTCCGTCTTTTCTTGATGTGTGCATAGTTTTACCTATCAAAATCCTTGAGCTTTTCTAATACAACATATTTCATTTCTTCTACAGGAAACAAGTTGAAAGGGGTGATTTCTCACCTTGTGGTACTCCTACTGGGCTTGATGCTAGAGATCCATTTGATCTTCAACTTGGTAAGTTCCTTCTTTTGCCTTTGATTGTCTCAGAGTTTGAGCTCGCCTTGAGATGCCAACTGTTTCCTAAAACTTAGGAGGGAGAATGTACTATAATACCCAAGATATGCTGTGGAGGAGGAAGCTGGAGGAGCAAACTGACTTGCAGCAAGCTCTTGAGCTTCAAAGTAGGAGACTCATGGGTCTACAATTTCTTGACATCAAGAAGCAGCACCAGAGGGCATTCTCAACAGGAAGCCCAATTCCTTCCCCTACTCAATCTCCCAACATGTTCAATCAGAATCTTGTTCTTCCTTCATGTCATGGTGGCAGCTCTGAAGCTTCTCTAGAGGGTATATAAGCTTAAGACAATCTAATAAATGCAGTTGCTTGCGACTGGTCTTAATTTTACATGGTTCTTTCTGGGAATTGGAATGAACTGGTCGAGATTTATGTTTGATTCCAGAAAGTGTTTTGAGCTCTGCTCCTCCTAGCGCGGCACAGATTTCTGCTGGTCAGCAGCCACCAATGGAGCCGAAGGTCAATGTTTCTGTTGGCAAAGTTATACCCAATGGCGAGAATGGAGGGGGCAGTGGCTGTGATGGCAATGGGAATGGCAAGCAAAGCACTAGTCATGAAGACTGTAATTTTCAAGAATGGTATGAAACTTTTCTCATTCAGAATTGCTAAAAGGCTACTAGAATAGCAAACATCTTTATCTCCTTTAGATTCCTCTTTTAGTCCATGCTAATTGGATCCAACCATTTATTCCAATAATTCAAATTTCCAAATTAAATTGTCAAAGGTAATGTATTTATCTGTTTAGGTTCCTGAATAAATGCAGTTTGGAGCATAACCTCCCAGATAGCCCTTTTGCTTCTCCAACAAAAGCTGCTGGAGACTACGTGGCTGCCTTCTCCAACGGAGGACCTAACGAGGCCCTTGATTCCGATAGCTCAGCTGCATCTACCAACTCTGAATTCGGTACTACAAGTGCATTTCCTCCAGCAACATCTTCTCTTGACATGGGATCTTTCAAGTCCTTTAACTGTCAAATTCCAAGGTACTACTATCTCCTGGAATCACTTCAAAGTTTTCAGATTGGACGGGGATTGATTAGTCCAAACAAAGTTGCAAGGGAACCTTGGCCTTAAAAAGCAAATTCAATCCCATTGTCACAATGAGTTCAATTATTTATAAATTTTAAATTTTAAAATACGTGATCTGGGTTTTAATATAGGTTTTCTTCCAGCCACGGAAACATTGAAATGTTTGCCGGCAAGGGTGGACCCATCGCCATTTAGCATCCTGAGCTTCGGGTAAATGACTTTGGATCTCTTTTAATTCTGTGCTCGCTTTATTGCATGTTGTCTTCAACTTGCATATAGCATCTTGTGTTTCTTTGTTTATTGAATTTTGGGTCTGCTTGGTCTTATTTTGTCTGTTTTGTGCAAATACAAATACAAATTTTGCAGGAAGAGAGAAGTAATGGACCAAAGAAGACCAGGAACAGCAAACAAATCTGTAGAGAATCACCACCACCAAGCCCATCAACATCATCATCAATACTATACTCCTTACTACCATACAAAATGCATACGTAAAAAGCAGTTTAGTAAAGGAAGTGGGGCAGCCATTCCTTTTTCTTTTATTGTCATTATTGTACCATTGTCCATCTTTCTCGTCTCTCATTTTGTGTAGTAGCTGAAAGTGAATGAACCACAGGTTAAAGAAAAAAAATAACGTAGAAAGAATCTGAGTCTATTGGTATTAGGAAGAACTAAAGTCCCTGGTACTGTAATTTCTTCTTCCCCTTCCCCTTTAATTGCTAGGGTTGAATGTATTGAAGTCTTCAGTCCTGCGATGTTTTAGAGCTTAGAGGTATAATTTGAGTCCTTGGATTTGCTGGAGCACAAGCAGATAAAACATGAAGAAGTGAAAACAAGTAGAAGCTGAGTTGTAACTACCGGGGCTGATTCAATCAATCAAATTCCATTATGGACAATTTGACTTTGGAGGCCAGAAGGGAAAAAGGGAGGGGATGATTGTTATTCCTAGCTGGCTGAAGTTTCAAAGTGGAGATTTCAGACGTCAACCTCTGTTGTGTTGTAGTTTGTCTGTAATTCCTACTTAGTTTATAATATACACAGTCAACAAAGCCCTTTAGAGATTACCTGAAAGCAAAGACTAAAGAGAAAGGTTTAGAAGAAAATCACAATGCAAAAAAAGAGAGTAGAGATTTCTAGACAGAATGGTCTGTGTCCTTGCCTACCCTTCTCTTTTGTTATTATTTATAGATGAATTCTTGTCTCTTTGTTGCTGCAATTAAACTTTCATTTTCAAAATTTGTAACTTGGTGGGGGGGTGGTGTGTCTTTATTTCCTGTGCCATCATTGGTGGGGAGAAAAGGAGGGGGTCCCACGGGGATTCACTGTCTCTCATGTATGGGGTTGTTGAAGCTGCAAGTGAGGCCTACACATTTATAAGATGCCAGGTTGTGTATGGGTCCGGCCCCACCATCAACACCCACCCATGTGAGCCTTGGCCACATTCTCTCTTGAATCCATCTCTAGAGAGGAAGTAGGATGTTCGTACAAATTTTATAAATATATAAAGTCCTGATGTTTCTCTATCTTGCTGACCGGAAAGGATATGCACAGATGTAAAAGCAGAAATATTTGCCCACACGTATGACAAAATTGCACGGTTTCTGGAATCTTTCGGGGTCTGTGACAGTAACCGCAGTCTCTACGTGGTTACTTTTGATTTAACTGCCCCCTAGGTGTTTGTGAAAACGCCTAGCTGAACTCAATGAAATTGAGAAACCCATCAATTTGAAAATTACAAACAAATCTTAGAACAGGGAAAATTACACCAATAAAGTAAAAAATTGATAAATGCCAGATCTCGAAAAGTAGGCGAGAAAGTTGAAGAAGAGAGAGAGAAGAAGAAACGGAGCAGAATCGGAACGGCGCACCTTATGGATAAGAATAAGCCAAATCTGAAGGCGAAGGCGTGGCGACGTTTCGAAGAAGTTGGGTTTGACACGTCAGTAGGGCAGTGACTGGGACTGAGAGCGAAAGATCACTGGCGAGAGAGAGAGAGAGAGAGAGAGAGGAGCTTCATCGATTTTTCGCGCGTCCTGCAAAAAAATACACAGCCGATATTTTCGAATTTGTTCAATTAAATATTTAAATTTTAACGATCTATCTACATTTGATATACATTTGTCTTTTTCAATGGAAAAAATATTTTTTACTGTTATTTTTTGTTTTGTGGTGAGAGAAGGAAAAAGTTATGAGAAGCTTCTGAAAGGTCATAATATTTTTTATTTATATTTTTTAATAAAAAATCGAGATTTTATTACCACAAAAAAAATAGAACTATCAAATAAAACTATTAATCTTTATATTCATTATATCAAGTTTTCAAATTAAACTTTCTTTTATTTCATGTGAATTTATAACTAAATACTATTAAATATTAATATTTTAAGAATACAACATATGATTATGTGTGATTAGAGAACTTGACATAATAAATAAAAAGAACATGATATAAGTATTGTTCAAACTATTATTATCATGCAGGAAAAAAAATCTCAACAGGGTAACTACCTCTAGAATCTAATGTCAAAGTACAAAAATAAATAGGCACCTCATCAAAATTAAAAAATTAATTACTATTATTTCTTTTAAAGAGTTAAATATTTAAAACTAACCCTTAAAATCTTATTCCTTTTTAGATTTGAACTGTTATTCTTGTTGTTATTATTATAATAAAAAGAAGGGGAAAAATTGAGGAGAGAACATTAGGGAAGGGAGAAAGCAATAATTGGGGGAAGGAAAGGTGGTGTTTGGTTGATTGGATAATGGATGTTAAGTGTGACTAGATTTTGTGTTTTGGGGACAGATTTATTGTATCCATCAATGTTATAATCCTGTTCCCCAAATCTGATTACGACATTTTTTTTTCCACGTCACCCTTTTTAAGGTTTTGGATTTTTTTTTTGGTGGCAAATGCGTACTGGACATCACTATTCACTAGAGATGGGAAATTATTTTCTACAGAGCTTCCCCTTTTTTATAATTGTTTTTAGAAATATTAATTTTTTGGTAAACAAATCATAATTAATTTGTTATTTTTTACTTTATTTTTTAAAACCATTGTGATAGTTATATATGTGTGTGTATTTTTGAGTAATTATTACCATCCGGTATCACAAACTAACAAAAACAAATCATTTGCATTTTTTTTGCCAACATAAAAAAAAGTCATTTTCATTTATTTTAGTTTGATCAATTTGTTAGTTGAACCCATTTTAAATATAAGAATTATTTAAAGGAGTTTATTTTGGTATTAAATATGATATCTTAATCCTTTTTATCTCTCAAATTTATAATTATTTTCTCAAACGATGATCGAAGGGAGTATTTCAATACACACATTTACTATAAATAATTTAATTGGTTTTTCAATATTTATAAATTAATTATAGAACTCATACATTTAGAATTGTCATGAGTATTAACTTGTTAAAATGAAGTCGTGCAACTTTTTGATAAATTGTGTTGTAAATTCTAGTGCTTTTCTCGGAAGAATTATAGCTAATGTTTTAAGTAACAATGCTATAAGATGATAACACGTACTAATAAATAATACTCCTTCAATCCTAAATATAATAACTATTCTATAGTATAAATTACATTACAAAATGGATTTTATATTTAGGACCGGAGGGAGTAATTGTTTATTTATTTTATATGGTTAATTTTTTTAATCATTTTGGGTGACTAGTTTGGTCAGATTAAGGAATACTTATTGGTTTTGGAGAGAATCTTGGATATTGAAGGGATTCACTCAACCTTCATTAGATTTGAACAGAAAATAGACAAGTAAATCTGATACAAACTCTTCACCTAAAATTATATCAGTTTCTTATACAGTAAGTTTGAGTTAACTAGAAGATTCTACAAACGCTGAGGGATTAATTTTTTCATAATATTATTTTTTAAAAAAATCATTATTGTTTAACATAAAATAATTGTTTTGATTATTGGAAATATTGACATATGAATTATTCTAGTCGTATCAAAATTCTCTATTCAAATTTTATTTAATGAGGGACTCTCTTTTGTTAGAATATTTGGTAACAAATATTATAACATTGGGTATTGAGACATCTAATTAGTTCTCTTAACGTGATTTTTTTTTTGGGTGTGATATTTGTATATCTAATTTTATTCAAACTGAAACTGGACAGATCATTGAATTGGTCGAAATTGTGTTTTCAAGAGTTAGTAGTTCAATTATGGTTAAATTGGGGTTAACACAATCATGATTCAAATAATATAATTTAATTAAAATATATAAAAATATTAATATATAACCTTAACAATAGTAGTATTTAAATAAAGAATCACAAATTAATTAATAAATAAAACATTCATATATAAACCAAATATATTCTAGTAAAACAAAGTACTAAAACACTAATATGACGGATTACTATTTTTCACCAAAATGACATCGTTTCAAGCTTGGCAAGAGGCCAAAAAAAAAAAAAAGAAGAAAAAAAAATAGACCCACCCAATTGGCCTAACCAGTTGAGGTGTTCATAGGAGAGAACGGGACAAGAACGACCCCGTGTCCCATTCTGTTTGTCCTAATAGCGTCCCATCCCAACATAACTAGGACGGATAGGGACGCTTTATTTTTTTTTTATTTTTAATTTGAAAATTAACTATACATAAAATATAAGAACTTATGATTAAAAACCATACAAAAAAAAAATAAAAATGAGAAAACAAGGACAAAGAAAAGTGTTTTTTAATCTTGAGAGACAAAAAATAAACAAACCTAAAATATTCACTATATAGAATATCACGTAATTCATACAAAACAACTTATAAACAAATAAAAAAATGATAAATATCATTACCAAAATATTATTATTATGATAAATAAAATAAATTTAAAAAAATTAAAAATAAATATATTATATCGGGATGGGATATCTTTGTCCCGCATCCTGTCCCGCTTTACAGGATTGTTACGTCCCAAAATGATTGAGATGAGACATTGTTGAACACCCTTACTAACTAGAAGATTGATTTATTGATTTATTTTTTTGATTGATTAGTTGAGATTGAGTTTTAATTTCAAGAAATTGAGTCTCTTTTACGTAAACACAAAAGTGGGATTGGTTTTCAGTCATAAGTGTGTGAAAATCCATTGGATCCCTATTTGGATGATCATCTTTGTACCTGTTTTTGTTGAAGTTTGAACCTAGTACTATTGTTAATACTTCATACATGACAAAACCTTATTCCAATCATATTCAGGTGAGCTTTTTTTTTTGGGGGCGCTATTCATTGCATACACTTGACCAAAACAAAAGTTACAACCCAAGGCATCAAGTGATTTTGTCTGCAATACTCATAACATCAAGGTCAAAGCAAGAATGTCCAATGATCACATTGCAATATGTATGATTTAATGCATTGGCAAATTGAATAACATAATTGGTTTAGTATAGCAGAAGGAACTTCATTTTTTTAAGCAAGGTTGAAAATTGAAGATTTAAACTTTATGGATTAAAAAAAATCATGTTTTAAGAGTTACTATCTATCTGTATCCAACTTTTCCTATGTAATTACTTAATACTCCCTCCAGTTTTAAATTTGAGTTAGTTAATTAATTTACAGAAATTATTTAAATTAAATTATTTATTTGTAATAAATATATATTGGCTTCCCTAAGATGTCTATAAAAACCTCTTATGTATGTGTAGTTAATATTATTACTCAAAAAAACAAAAATTTAAATTATAAGAAAAAGTAAATAGAAGTTTTATATTCAAGATCGGAGTAAATTTTTCTTAATCTAACTTCTATATTTAAGAATTAAGATAAGAGGAGGTAATGTATAATATTATATAGTAGTAAAAAATGAAAAAGTTCATAATTAGCACATGTACTCAACATGAACATGTCATCACATGGACATGTCTTGAATTGAACAGAACAATGTGCTGCCATAGTGGTGAATATCATTATTACAATTTAGAGACAGTTTTTGTAGTACATGTGTTAAAAAGAGACCATGATATTAAAAAAACATAAAAAAAAAATTTAAGTACACTTTTGTTCTCGTGAATATTATAAGTACATCAACTAACTCGTAATTCATATCTATATTCTAATAATTTGAATTAAATTATTCTTGTCTTTTCATATTTTACAATAATCAATAATTAGCTTTAACTCTTTCTGTCTTAATTTATTCTTATGGTCAACTAAACATTGACCAAGTCAGGTTATGGCTCAAACTTTAATATTTTTAG